ATGTGTGTGCAAAACATGAAATGGCTGAGTGTGTGCTAAATTGGTGTGCTAGAGGTTAATGTTAAGTAAGTGAAATGAGAAATGTTTGGTGCTGATTCTGAATAGCACATGTACATCAGAGGCTATAACTTGGTTTTTCTTCATAACTTATCATTTTATTTCCACCAAACTTGTCCATTTTTCTGGGTAATGTATTTACTTTCAAAAAAATAAAATGTTAAGTTTTCCTTTAACGTTTGTCGTTCCTATCATCTGAAATAAGTTCTGGCTAATGACTGGGCCACTGAAGGAGTTTAATAAGGAACTGATGACAGATTTGTTGATAAATGAAATGTTCAGGTATTTAACTTTAGAAAAAATTTTGGGTCACCGGTTTTGCTTGTAAAATTCCAGTTGTCAACTTCTTGGCGCTGTGACACTCCAATATGCCACTAAACCTACCAAAAAAGTCATTTTGTAGCCTTTGCAAGGTATGTATTTATGAATCTAGTTAGTTGTCACTAGTTTTGAACTTCAAATATTAAAGTTATTAGCTAAAATGTTTGGTAATAACATATAGCAAATGATTTAGTTGTGCGAATCCTTGATCATAGCTGTAACATAAAATTACTCTGGGTCCAAATATGGCTGTAACAAATTTATAAGGAGGGTGACAAAATTTTGGAAAAAGGTATGAGTTGATTATTTTTACAACATTTTCGATTCCTGTGTTATATTCTCCATCTTTATGCACAAATATGTGTTGTATTCTGCCAAGAAAAAATAATGAATTGTTCATTTCTAAAAGGAAAATGCCATTCCTACGGAACAGTATTATTGCAACACAAATAACACGGTCTATACCTCAGTAAATGATAAAAGAAAAGAAGAGAGAGTGTCAAACTTTCGTTTCCGTTTCCTTCTTTGTATTCGTATTTTATAGTAAAAATATGACACCACCGATCGATCTGTTAGAAAACAATACTGATTTCTAAGAAATGGAAATTGTTGCTCATAATCTTAAAACACACGTTAGATATTATATGCGTCTTAGAAGTAAACGTCTTTTATGTAGATTTAGAAATTATAATAGAATCATTCATTGAAAAAGAGCAACAATGCATATAATATAGTGTAAAAGATTTGTGACCGAATACTTTTTGGCACGTCACTGTAGGTCAAATAATCCTGAAACGTTTTCGAGCAAGACTAGACTCCTATATCGCTTTTAAATATTGTTTTTAAATTTGCCTCAACAGTCACTATAACCTGCTAGAATTAAACCAGTCCTTGGAATTTTTGACAGGTTACCTACACCACCCGGAGAAAAAAACTACAAAATTTACACAGGAAAATGATATTCCAGGAACGTTGCTAATGTTTTACTTTCAAAAGGCTTTTCGAGTTGGAACAGCTCCTTAGATGCGGACAGGTTGTCAAAGCTACTTCGGTCCACGGAACGACGTCCTTGATTTATGGATGATAGTAGTTTGCTTTTTATAAGAAAATGGATAACATAATGATACAGTAATTAGTACTGGTTCAGCTACTAACTAAACAGTTAATCGGTTATTTCTCATCATGGAGACGAAAGCTGATCAAGTATTGTTCTAAACAATTTAGATGGACGTCTTTATATATTTTTTGTCATAAAAAGAATATATATTAACTGGCAGAAAGAGGTCCAAACCATATTTTAATGCAGTGACAACAATATTAATTGCCGGAGGTCCTTATTGAGGATTTAAGCAGAACAGGTGACTCGAACTTTAACAAGCAATTTTAACTGACACTTTGCGCCTCGTTCTCATTTACTTTATACTGTTTTCGAGCCAATCATCCATCCATTATACAGTGCAAATGCAGGTATCATATGCATAACCCAGATATATATGTTTTTATTATATATGGCAATAAGCTTACATTAGCAGTGGATGCGGTCAGGTCAAGTTTTACTAGTATACAAGTGCAGAGCTGTGCTTGTCATGCTGGACTTGCTACTGCATGCATTTGACGTCATCGACCAAGGCAAACGTCTGGAGTGACTGATACCGCACTATGCTGGATACAGTCTTACCTGAGTGAACGACGACAGTGTGTTGCCATCGGATCTTCCACCTCACATGACAAAGTACTAGATTTCGGGGTTCCTCAAGGGTCGGTGTTAGGACCACGAAAATATTGTATGTTCTCCAAACCGATTGGAGAGATTTGTCGTCGCCATAGCCTTCGCTATCATTGCTATTTGCATAAATTGAATGGAGATACTAAAACATTTGAACCTAACATAAAGGACGAACACTTACTTACATTGGTACATACAATATCATGTATACAAACATACACACACATATATATATATACATTCATAGACACAAAACATATAACATAAATAAACAAATTTGCATACAAACATACATTTGAAAACATGAGACAACACTAACATAAATAAGTATAAATTATGTGCAAAAGTTGTCTATTCTCCGGTTGTGTTATTAAGCAGGAACACTGTTAGGTAGGTCATTGTATACCACTTATATCAATGAAATTGTCTTTGTAGATATTTGAGTGTGTACAAATCATACTTATGAATAAAAAAAAATCACTGTTATTGTGCATATAATATGGCATATTGTCAGGGTGTCTCCATCAATGGGGACCATTTTCTCCAATATCCTAGAAACCTTTCTGACTCATATTTACTGTTTGAAATGTGTTTTTGTACTTTGTATGTTTCCTTAATTTCATTGAGAAGTGCTAATATAGATAGTTTATTTTTAAAACATTCTGTTTAATAGATATAATATTTAATTACTAAGTTTATTAAATTGCAGGCGCGGATTTAGGGGGGCACACACATCGTATTTTAAGTATGACCCAAAGACTTTTTTTGTGTACTGGAAAGAAAATTAAAGTTTCGGTTCAAATTCTCTATCAACAGCGTGTTTTAGAAGTCAGATGGTATTATTATAGGGGCAACCTGGTAATGACAAATGTATGAATCCACAGGGGGCTTGTTCATTATTACCTAATTTGGCGTCCCGCCCGCAAGGGGGATACGAGAGGTCCGCCGTCAAAAAATAAATGTAGGGACGCACAATATCTAGTCTTCAGACATTGTACCTACAGTACAGTACTTCATGTAATAGTTTGTCGTACAAAAGAACAAATAACACCATAACATCGTTGCTGTTTAATTACTGAGTTACGCATGGCATCACTAAGTTGCTAAACAAACGGATAAGTTAAAATCAGTGCGACACCCAAGGCCACTAGCTATATAGTCTCGCGTTTTATAATTGTTGACTTATTCACTAGTGTAGACAATGATATATCTGAAATGTCCACGCTGATTAACTCATGCAAGGGCGTGCATATTACCAACAGTGGTACATTTGCTAAGCTATCTGGTTAAAATGGTACAACTTAGGAGGCACATAAGCGTCACCTTTAAATTTAATTTAAAATTATCATACTTGTAAGTACAGCATACCATCTGGTACGTACAACTTATTACTACGTACACAATAGTATGCTGTGTGAAGATACTTTCTTGTACGTACACGATGGTAAGCTATAAGTACCACAATGAGATATTATGTTTTTTTCTTCTTGTTAATTAAACATAAAAACGTAATCCTCAGAACACGGGAAATCGCTTCTGAGACGTTCTAGAAAACACAATTTTTTGGGGGAGATCCCCCAAACCCCCCTTTACGGCAGGAGGAAGACCCCCTCACGTACCCTCCCTCTCCTCGCGCTACGCGCTCGGGGTGCTGCCTAGCACACCGTTGACTATTGAAAAAAAATTCTCGGGACCCCTCTTTTAGGAAATCCTGGATCCGCCCCTGAATTGTCAACTTCAGCATCTGGTTCGTCTGCACATATTATACCAAAAATAAATTGTTTTTTATTCAATGTGTAGTTGATATGAAAAATTTGGGTTAACCTCTCAAAATTATGAAGCAATCTTTTAACTTCTTGGCAGTCCCATAGAATGTGTTCAATAGTTTCCCGATGTGTTTTACAGAAAGAGCAAAATTCATTTTTAACTAATGCCATTTTGAATACAAGAGAGAATTTAACTTCATTTTGTACAACATGACATATGTATCAGACCACATTTGTTGCAAAATAAACTGGAAATCTGGAATGGTGACATCCTCCTGAAAACAATTCTGGATCCGCCCCTGGTTAATCGCCGATAATATTCAATCATAGCATTTGGCTGATGTCGATTCTCGGGTTGATAAATCCAATTAACCGAAGTTAAAGGCTTCAGTTGTTTTATTATTTTACAAAACAGTAATATAAGCAATCTGAAAAATCCCACAACAAAAAACGCTTCGGAAGTGGGACGGTGCATTGTTTGGAGACACGTCATAATTCTGTTTTTAGAAACACACAGTCCTTTAACAAAAATCACGCGCTCCAAGTCAATATCGGTTTTTATCGGTGGACACGTGATGCACTTCTAGGCAATCACTTGTCGGGAATAATATGGAAAAATAATAAGGCAAATTAACCTTTACCTGGGCCCTGTATTGTCTTATATTCTTCTTGTTTTATTTTCTCTGGGATTGCCATGTAAACGTTTCGCTTGTTAAAATATTTTGCCATAGTTTTATAGATTTTGAGTAGAGTAGACCGGAACAAGTTCGGCCATCCCTATATATTTGGGTCCTGAGCAAATATTTATAACTTGATGATCTTAGCAGTTTAGTTGTTGGGTGGGACAATAACACGAAAAAGTGGCGAAGAAAACTCAATTATAAAACTATTAAAGAAAGTCATCTATTTCAGTGTTTATAATAGTTTAATTGTGGGGATTATTATTAGGCGTAATGCAACAATGGGAAACCTTTTAAGCATTGAACGCAAAAAAATAGTTACACATTAAACTCGTATCTTTCTTCCCCTATAGACCCATTATGCTCAATAGCTACATCGAAGAGAAAAAAAACTGTTGTGTGTAACCTAGGAATCAGGGGAGGTAAACTTCATTTCAATACGCATGCGTACTCCGTGCCTGAATAGCCATCTTTACCGCCAGCGTGGGTTCCGTGTTCACAGAATTTGAAGAAAAGAAATTTGCTTTTTTGGTAAGAAGGATCAAAGACATTGATACTACTTATATACAATAAGACACGATGACAGATGAACGTAAAATGTACGTTGGAAATGTTAGCTTTGGCACAAGAGAAGAAGATTTAAGAGAATATTTCGATAAATACGGAAACATTGAAGAATGCAACATTGTTTTAGACCGCGAAACTAATCGGTCAAGGGGATTCGCATTCATCACATTTAGCGACTCGAAAGGAGCCAACGATGCGGTCTCAACAACACATTCGCTGGATGGACGTACTCTTAAAACGTCGATAGCGGAATCGAGGAAGGATGGTGGTGGCCGAAGTAGCTATGGAGGTGGTGGTGGCGGCTATGGAGGAGCTGGTGGCTATGGAGGAGGTGGCTACCAACAACGTGACAACTACCAGCAACGAGGCTATGGAGGGGATGACTCCCAGTACAGCTCCGGTGGAGGCGGTGGCAGAAGCTACGGTGGTGGTGGTGGTGGTAGCAGAGGCTACAACAGCCAACAAGGAGGAGGTAGCGGTTATGGCGGGCGAAGTGGCAACAGTGGCGGCTGGTAGGTGAATACAACACGTGTTTTATGGTTGTACTCGCTCCCATCTGACTTTATCACCAGCATCGCTCCATATCTTATATATATTGCCTATATATATATATAAATCAGCGACAGACGTGATGACATTACATGTTAAATGGCTTAATAACCAGTTTAACTTCATTTCTTGAATTGGATCTACAAAGAGGAACTTTGACTTTAACATTAGACAATAATTGATGGGTTTCAATCTAAATTCCATTTGAAATGGTTATTATAATAAAAAGGTTGTACATAGGTTATCGTGATTCTTTTTTAGCTCACTAGACTAGAGCGAAAACTTAAAAGGCCGAGTATAAAGTTGAAATTGTTTTCATTGCCCCTTTGATCTATTATTGAAATACGGTCAAACAAAAAATAAAATTGTTTCTTGTAACATGTTTGAAATTGAAAAACTTTAAGTTTTAGTACTGGGAACATTTTATTTTCAAATACAATTGTATTTGGTTTATATAGGAGAGTGATCATGATTTTGATTTCAGCAGTGCTTCTTTTTTAAATTGATAGAAAATTTACGGGTAGGTAAAAAAAATGGAACAGTGTTACCGGAAACAACATATTTTTTGTTTGGCCAAACCAGGGTTTACAGCCCAGTAACCAGTTCATTGTTCTTGAAAACATGTTTGCATATTTCTTGCATTTTTTTTAATCTTGCAGTATATATATATGTTTGTAATGTGCTGATATCATTGTTACACCTAGATTTTTTTTAATGGAAGTACTCTGGTTCCAACGTATCTTTGTCACTTGTCTATGCCACATGCTAAAAGTACATGTTTTTGCAAGATATGGAATAAAACTAGGGGAAAAAAGTAACTAGAAGCTGTATTGAGTTTGTATTCATCGTAGAAAGGCACAATTTCGTAAAATTTAACAAGAACCATATTGGCACACTTGAGCATAATTTGATCAGTCATGTGCAAAAGTGTCCTGCATAGGGTGCAGTACTAGTCCATAGGCATAACATTGAATATTTTTTGCAAGTTGATAAAACTCCTTTTTATGGAACCCCATTTTAATATTAACCCTTTCACCCCTATGTAACTTTAGTGGACTCTACCATGCATTGATCTGGATGAGTCCATTATGGTCTACAGTGGTGAAAGCGTTAAGACAATCTACATACACTGTCTACATTAATGACGACAATAATTTATACATATATATGCTCATACACATTGATATACAGTATGACAAAAAAGGAAACTGCTCCCAAAAATGTTATAGGCAATGCCAAAATGTCGAACCATCCGACAAATGGGTTATATTTACATTAAAGTGTAATGAGAAAGGAAAATTATTCACTCTGTTGTCTGTTTAGTAATTTGACAATTTGAATTTATATTTTTTCTAGCCACAGATAGACTGGCCCGTTAAAAAGTGTCGGCACCATTATATTTTGTCTTGTAACATTCTCGTGTTTCACAAATGATGTAGATTTATATTTAGGAATTGGTTGATAAGGTATACACTTTCCTATGTAAAAGTCACATATTTTTATGACCATTCAAGAACTGGGTCCAGCAACTCGTGCGTTATCAAAATATTGATGGGAAATAATTAGGAAATGAGTCTTCCTTCTTTTGTATAGTAACAGTAATAAATCAGTCCCATGAAAATGTACTGTGCTGGTAATGAGCTTACTTCCATGTGTAATCCAAATGCAATGATGTATATTTATCTTGGGGAAGATATGCTCTGATTTATTCGTGTTGGTTTTAATACTAAGTTAATGTTTGGAAAGCAAAAACAAAATGAAGAAATGCTGTAGTACTAGATACATGCTTGACTTAAGTTTCAATCCTGTGTTTGATACAGATAAATCTCGAAGGCATGCTGCTTCACCAGATTTATCAGACAATGCTATCAATAATTCTACCGTGATAATATGTAACAACACTCCTTGTTGGTTTAAAATCGTGTATTAATGGGCCACAGACATGTACTTGATTATTCTGTCTGCTTTAATGACCTTAGCTGTCCTAAAGGTCTAGGGTGAATGTGATTGTCAATTGCATTAGCATGCGGGGATGAAGTACTTTCAAGTTTGTTCAAATGAATGACCTTAACCCACTTTTAAGGTCACATGGATCAAATTTGTGAAAACTTTAAACAATTTTCTCTCAAGGCCAGGTGTTCCCACTCATTTGGGGTTTTTGGTACCCCAAGGTTTCCAAAATGGGGTACATCAGCAGATTTTGGGGGTATAGGTATGTATTTTTTGGGGTACCAATTTTTGTTGTCATAAATTATGTACTAGTAAAATAAAACAACAGGAATTATCATATTCAGCATTTGTTTTCATTTTGTGATTGATATTTTGTAAATAATATTGATTCATAATAAAACATTGCAAGGATGACTTGCATATCAAGACCCATTTTGCAAAATGTCACCTATGTTGATAGTAAACTTATTTATAGTTTTGCTTACCGAATAAGCGTTTTTGAATACACCGATGATGTAACGGTGTTGACTTTTTCCGACTGATCATCTAGCCTCAAACAATCGAATTCCTCATGCCATTTGGTTTGTAATATTTTCACGTTTGGCATTGGCATATTTTCTGATTGCCGATTGCAACAGGCTTTCATTTATTAGCGGTAGGCCTCTGGTCGAGATCTGTACCTGTCGTTTCTTTACAGGTTTAACAGTTTCAACCGCATACGCGAATGAAGAGCAAGCTAGAGGGCCATAACGATTTACATATTGACGCGATTTCGTGAACAAAAAACTACCTGCCGACAAAATGGGAAAACCCCACAACTTTCGTTTTTGACTTTGACTAGTTTAAATAACATTGCGTCGAGGTGGAATATAAAATCATTTTGAATGCGAGACAGATTTTTGCGTGGCAGGTCACGTAGGGCAGTCAATATCTGTACATGATTTACTAGCTCACCTGGTCTGAAGGACCAAGGTGAGCTTATGCCATACCGTGGCGTCCGTCCGTACGTCAACAATTTCTTTAAACGACTTCTTCTTAACTACCGGTTGGAATTAAACTAAATTTGACTGGAAGCATCCCTAGGTAGCGGGGATTCAAAATTGTACAAATGGTGGAGCTTACCCCCCAGGGGGCTGAGGGGCGGGGCCAAAAGGGGTTTATTTGCCCATATTGATTTAAGCGACTTCATCTCTGGAACTAAGAAGTGGATATCAACCATATTTGACTGGAAGCATCCCTAGGTGGTGGTGATTAAAAATTGTACAAATGGTGGGGCTGACTCCCCAGGGGGCTAAGGGGCGGGGCCAAAAGGGGTTTATTTGCCCATATTGATTTAAGCGACTTCATCTCTGGAACTAAGAAGTGTATATCAACCATATTTGACTGGAAGCATCCCTAGGTAGCGGGGATTCAAAATTGTACAAATGGTGGGGCTGACTCCCCAGGGGGCTAAGGGGCGGGGCCAAAAGGGGGCAATGTGGCTATATTGCTACAAACGACTTCTTCTGTAGAACTGTGCACTGGATGTCAATCATATTTGATCAAAAGTATTCCTGCGAGGCAGGGATTTAAAATTGTACAAATGGTGTGGCTGAGGGGCGAGGCCAATAAAATGTATTACTTGGAAATGGTTGAGATCCCCACCATATAACCATATATACAATTGCTGAGTATAAAGAGAAGAACGCACATTTGCTTCCAGGATATCCCTAGGGTCTGGCCCCACCCTTGGAGACATAGTCCCTGGGCCATAACTTTAAAACGGTTGAGATACCCACCCCAAAACTATATATACAAATGCTGGGCATAAAGAGACGAATGCAATCATGATATTAGAATTGATCCCAGGGTCTGCCCTACCCTTGCAGACTTGGCCCCTGGGTCATAACTTTGAAACGGTTGAGATCCCCACCCCAAAACTATATATACAAATGCTTGGCAAAAAGAGACAAATGCAGTCAAAATCTAATATAGCTATGCTCCAAGGATTGGCCTTGGGGTCTGGCATATTCCCTTGATCTCATTTGGAGAATAGTTTGCCATGATTGCTTAGGTATCCAGGTGAGCAATACAGGCCCTCTGGGCTTCTTGTTTGAAATACGTGTGCGAATCGCGCACATTTCTACGTGAATGGGAACACCGAGGCCTATAATGAGGAAACTGGGCATGTAGCTGTATAGTGCAAAGTAAAGCAGAGTTAAGGATCTTGAGAGTGAGACGGCATAAAACAAATCCTGTTCGCATGGTCAAAATAAAAACCAACCTGATTTAAAATGATTGAACATCTATTTCACATTGCATGTGATAAGCACTGATAAGGAAGACACAAAAGCACATACTATTACTGTGCTATTGAGTAGAATCTGAATGAATAAGGTTAACATGAATATTGCATGTAAAGGTCAGTACTGTAAATTTGCGGCAATCGTGTTCACTCGGGTATAGTGCACAGGTACGTTTTTCGGGTCAGATTTGAAGGGGGAATAAACCCTGAAAATAACGGGTATTGAAGTGGAAAAGTAGCATCAAATGATAACGCCGATTAATTACTGTTTTTACTCCGATTCCTATACTAGTAGTAGAAAAAAGAAACTGCATGCGGAGAATTGTTATAGAACATGTATTACCAACTGCATATACAAGAAAATTCGCACACATGAGTATGACCCATACACACTATCCGTGTGTCATTGACAGTTTTTCCTGTGCAGTTTGCTCTCTATAGGCGTTGACCAGTTTTTCTCGTCAAACCGTGGATGTGACACCCTGGGACCTGAGGGGCGGGGCCCAATAGGGGAAACATAGCAAATTATTCTTTAAAATCCTTTTTCTGTAGGAATGAAAGTATTTGGTGTAGAGCATCCTTGGGTAAAGAGGAACCAATTTTGGATAAACAGTGGGTGTGACCCCCCGGGACCTAAGGGGCGGGGCCTAAAAGGGGAAATAAAAGTAAAACCTTTATAATCCTTCTACCATAGGGATTAAGGGATTTTATCCTAATTTTGTCTTGAGCATCCTTTGGCAAAAGGGACTCAATTTCGTATAAACAGTGAGTGTGGCCCTCCTGGGGGCAGAAGGGAGGGGCCAAATAGTGGAAACATAGCAAATTCTTCAAATACCTTCTGTACGAATGACATGGTTTTGTCCAAATTTGGTATGAAGCATCCTTGAGTGAAGGGGAACCAATTTTGTATAAATGGTCTGTCTAACCCCCCTGGAGGCAGAGAGGTGAGGCCCAATAGGGGAAATAGAGATAAAACCTTTAAAATCCTTCCAATACCATAGAGATTAAGGGATTTTATCGTAATTTAGTCAGGAGCATCCTTGGGCCAAGGGGACTCAATTTTTAGCTCACCTGGTCTGAAGGACCAAGATGAGCTTCTGCCATACCACAGCATCCGTCATCCGTCAACTCTAAACTAGTAGTCCTGAACCACTGAGTTGATTTTTACAAAGTTTGGTGTAGAGCATCCTTGGGTGAAGAAGAACCAATTTTGTATAAATGGTGGGTCTGGCTCCTTGGGGCTGAGGGGTGGGGCCCAATAGAGGAAATGTAGCAAATTCTTTAAAATCCTTCTTCTTCTGTAGGAATGAAAAAATTCGGTCAGAAGCATCCTTCGGGGAAGGGGAACAAAGTTTGTATAAATGGTGGGTCTGGCCCCCCTGGGGGCTGAGGGGTGGGGCCCAATAGAGGAAATGTAGCAAATTCTTTAAAATCCTTCTTCTGTAGGAATGAAAGGATTTGGTCAGAATCATCCTTGGGGGAAGGGGAACAAAGTTTGTATAAATGGTGGGTCTGGCCCCCCTGGGGGCTGAGGGGCGGGGCCCAATAGGGGAAACATAGCAAATTATTCTTTAAAATCCGTCTTCGTCTGTAGGAATGAAAGGATTTGGTCAGAGGCATCCTTGGGGGAAGGGGAACAAAGTTTGTATAAATGGTGGGTCTGGCCCCCCTGGAGGCTGAGGGGTGGGGCCCAATAAGGGAAACATAGCAAATTATTCTTTAAAATCCTTCTTCTTCTGTAGGAATGAAAGGATTTGGTCCATATTTGGTGTGGAGCATCCTTGGGTAGTCGGGAAACAATTTTGTATAAACCATGGGTCTGGCTCCCCAGGGGCCTGATGGGCGGAGACGACATCAACAGTTTGGCCACGTCGGCGATCGACCTCGTGCGGGATGTCCAAGTGTGACGTCACGTCAACAGGACAATCATATTCGGTTTGTGCATTTGAGAAATCGCTTCCAAACGGCAAGTTTGACTGCACGGACAATCCCTGGGTTGCTACCAATAAGCCAGAGTACTGTAGGGAACCAATTGTGTGAACGAGCTATCCGTCAGCGATGTCCTGCAATCCGCCCAGTCATCCTGTAGCACATCTGGGCCCGTATTCATAAAAACGTTCTCATGCTCAAGCATGGTTTTTGTGCTCAAGCTTAATTTCTTGTTCTTGTTGTAACTTAATAAATAAATCTTGTTTTGTCAATGCTTTGGAAACATTTTGAAGAGACTTGAAGCTTACTACTGTTTCATTGTTTACATTTGCCTTTTTGATTGTTTTACATGATTTAAGCGATTAACAAGAAAGTTGGCTTGAGCACAGAATCCATGCTAGAGCATGAGAACGGTTTCATGAATACGGGCCCTGGACTGATGCAGAAGGCATCTGCTATTTACTCGACCGGATTGGGCAGGTACTTTGTTTATGGACGAGTCGCGAGTCCACCTGGATAGTAGTGACAGCTGTTCTAGAGTGTATCGTCGCATTGGAGAAAACCGTAACGCGTGTATGGTACAAAGATGTTCTTTTGGTGGAGGCAGCGTTATGATTTGGGGCGGCATCACAGCCAACGGGAGCTTGCCTCTGGTGGTTGTTAACGGGAATTTGAACGCGCTACGTTACCGTGACGAGATCCTCCAGACCCATGTCGTTCCATTCATGCAAGGACGGCAACGTCAAATTACGCTACAGCAGGACAACGCCAGGCCACACACAGCTCATGTCGCTATGTACTTTCTGGCCCAGCAGAACGTTGACATGTTGCCCTGGCCTGCTGTATCCCCCGATTCGTTGCCCATTGAACACGTCGAGGATGAAATGAAGGGCAGATTATGGGCATTACCTAATCAACCGGTGACGTTAGCTGATTTGGCTGCAGCGTTGGTACAGATCTGGAATGCCATCCCACAAGCATTCTTAAACCGTCTGATAAGCTCCATGCGTCGACGTTGCCAGACTTGCATTCAGGCAAACAGTGGACATACGAGGTATTAACTTTGTGAACTCAGGATTGACCCCTGCTGTGTTTACGTCACTCCTGAGCGTAACTTATTGATTCC